GTCGTTGTCCTCATCAATGTTCTTCCTCCACACTTTAATTTTCCGGTCAGAAGATCCTGTGTATATATCTCCCTTCTCAGACAATTCAACCGCATTGATTGCATCGTCATGTGCGTTTGTGATGGACTCAAGGCATTTAAAATCTGTGGTTCGCCAGATTTTGAGCGTCCTGTCCCATGAGACAGAATAAAGGAGTGTTCCATCACTTGATAAGGCTAAACCGGAAACCGCGTCTACATGGTGAACCCATGTAGCTTTCTTGTGCCTTCTTATTTCGACTTGGTTCTTGGGCATTAAACACTTTGCGAAACGGTCGCTAATTGTTGGCATTGTCGCTAAATGCATGTACTTTTTATCACCCGGTTCTTCTTCAGCGACACCGTTTATCTTCCACACACGTATCTTTTGATCTTGATGTGCTGTGAAGAGTTTATCAGCTAAGATTAACAAAGACTTCACTGCTCCTCCGCCTCCTCTTTCTCCTGTTATTACATCGCTGCTGTTTGATGCTTCGGCTAACGTTTCTAACGGGCTTGCATTCAACAATCTGACAACTCCGTCACTGGAGCCTGTGTACAGCCTTTTTCCTGCAAGGGCTAGAGATGAAATGTAGGAGGATGTGTGACCAACAAGAGTGGCGATACATCGAGGAAGTGCTCCAGAAGAAGATGTTTGATGATCTTCAAGAGAACAATTTGGTTCTTCGTGGCTTCGTATCATTGCTGCTTATTAACCAAATTACCAATGTTGTAGCGTTTATATGAAGACAAAAAGAGTGGTGCTTAGAAAGGATGAAGTTTAGGGGAAAGCAGTCGTGGAAACAACAATTGGCTTCAAGACTTGGACTATTAATTTACATATCAACTTGGACCCTTTACATTGTGAACAAATCTGACCGAAAACGAAAAGAATAATCTGACGAGAAGATGAGTAGGATACAATATGTATTTTAAACTGTTATATGTGCGTAAGCTTATTTGGTAGATTTCTTTGTCACAAAAGTGGAGGAAAAGCTAAAGGATGACCCTAGATTATTTATTTTATTATTAGCTAAAGTTGCGATGTGTTCCATACGTTGTCACAAATGATATTTTCTTAGACATTAATTTTACTTTTTTGGGTCTAACTTCTTTTAAATGTCTTCGGATTTTAGAAGATTTGCATGCGGTAGAAAGAAAACTCGAAGAACAAAAATTACCTTAAAATTTAGGAAATTAGTTGCATACAATTTTTATGAATTAAAGTCTGATGTTGACATATATATTTAACTAAAATTGGATGAGTTTCACGGATTTACGACACCTGAAATTTCCCGTTATATATGAGATTTTAATAGGTGTTAAAAATTGCTATATAATACACACTGTCACTATGATAGAACCCGTGGTGTGCAAAGTGATATGTTTATGATATAGAACTAGTATGGTTCTAGTTAAAATGTAAATTTAGTTAATGCAAAAATTATTATACAAAGTTCAAAAGTTTTAGTTTAAAAACCAGTTTTAGTTAATGCGGAAATTACTACACCAAATTCGAGATCGGTTTGTTTATATTAAAAAAAAAATTTACATGCTCATAGAAATTTTTCAAAATAAGAATTTTATAAACATTCAAATGTGTTTGACAATTAGAATTAGAGTAATCAAAATAAGTAATATATAGAATTAATGTGTTTGGAAATGACTAATGAGTAT